AGTGTTCTGGAGTTCCCATTTTTCTCAATGTTAGCCATTATTTACTATAATCCACACAGTCAAATGCCTTTACACAGGCAACAAAGCATGAACTAGACATTCTTCTGGTATTCTTTGTTTTCAGCCAGAATCTATCTGACACCAGCAATTATATCTGGTGCCACAGCATCTTCTTAATCCAGTTTGTGTCTCTGTCTTTGTTATCTGGTGCCACAGCATCTTCTTAATCCAGTTTAAGTGTCTCTGTCTTTGTTATCTGGTGCCACAGCATCTTCTTAATCCAGTTTAAGTGTCTCTGTCTTTGTACTGTCTTGCTCTTTTTGAATGATTCCCACCAGTATTTTGCTTATATGTAATATTAATGATGTTGTTCAATAATTTCCACATTGTGTTGGATCATCTTTCTTGGGAATGGGAACAAACATTGATTTTTTTTTTCCAGTTAGTCAGCAAGGCAGCTGTCCTCCAAATTTTCTGGCATGGACTGGTGAGCATGTCCAGGGGTGTATTTATTATTTGAAACATGTCAGTTGGTATCTCATCTATTTTGGGGGCTTTATTCTTTTGTCAATGCCTTCAACGCAGCTTGAATTACTTTCTCCCTTATCATTTACTTTTTTGTTGTTATTTTTCTTTTATTTATATTCCTGTTGTGTTCCATTTAATCAGATCTGAGTGAAGTTGCCCCTCCTTCTCCAACGGAGCATCTGGTGGCTTCGAACTGTGTGCCTTCAGTATTGTAGTGCAGCTTCTTACCACTAGGCTACCAGAGCTCCCTTATCATCAACCTTTGATCGTATGGTACTTCTCAAATTATTTCAGTATCGGCCAGTTCTCTTTGGTCCAGTTTCTTCCATCTTTTGCAATTTTTTCCATAGTTGTTCATGTTCCTCTGTATTGACATATTTCTTTTCCCTCTGTGTCTCTGGAGTTTTCACTTTATTTATGGCTTCCAGTTTTTCTTCTATCATTTACACTTCTTCCATGACTGATCATATAAGTCCACAGCAATATATTTCCTCTTATTCGTTTTCTCTTGGTGTTCACTTTATTTATGGCTTCCATTCTTTCTGTCATCATTTGTACCTTTTCCAATAGATGTTCATATAACTCTGTGTCAATATATTTCTTCTGCCTCTTTGTCTCTGGGGTATTCATTGGATCTGCAATATACTCTGCTTTTTATGGAGAAGGTTTATTTTGGGTTTTGACTTCTGCTTTTTTTTTTTTTTTTGTGAGTGTACCGTCAAATCAGATCTGACTGGTACAGGAGGAGATTGTCCCTCCTTTCCCGGCAGAGCCTCTGGTGGATCCAAACCGTGCGCCCCTGGGATTGTAGTTGCAGCTCCTTGCCACTAGGCCACCAGAGCTCCCTGACTTCTGCTTTCTTGACATTATGTGAAGGTTTTCCTGCTATGTTTTAGGCTATTTGTATTGTCTGTAGGTTGTTGACAGTTCTTTATATTTATGATGTAATTGATGAGTTGCAGACTTAAAGTGTCCCCTATATGCAGGAGGGCAATTGGTTATACCAGAAGCCCTTTCTGGTCCTGCGCAGTGGGAAAACTTACCTTTCCTAAAGTCTTTCAACTTCTCTTTGGACTTCAGTATAGCTTTGCAAGAATCTTTTATTTCCTTTTTTTCTTTCTGAATCTGAATTTCGTTTATTTCTTTACTTGATTCGGTTATTGAAGCAGGTTATAAAGTTTCCCCCATAACATCAATTCAACTTTAAAAACAATTTAGATTTATTGAACATGACTTTTAAATTTTACTAGTGAATTTTTTTATTTTATTATTTTTTTGTGCATTGTATCGTCAAATCACATCTGACTGGTACAGGAGGAGATTGCCCCTCCTTCTCCAGCAGAGCTCTGGTGGATTAGAACCAGGTACATCTGGAATTTCAATGCAGCTTCTTGCCACTAGGCCACCAGAGCTTCCTTTACCAGTGAATTTTTAAAAATCATTCTAGTATTCAGTGCTCTTGTTACTGATTTTTTTCTCTTTGGTTCTAAGACTTTAAAAATACATTTAGAATGACAATTAAAATGTTACAGATTCAGTTACAGACTAATTATATTAGTAAAAGAATAATACATAAATGAAATAACGTTTACCATTGTTTTACTTGCCACTCTCTAACAAAGACTGATAAGGCCATATGGTGACTGATGAGTATTTACCTAAGTAAAGATTTATTTACAGTCACTTTGAATAAATATTAGGCTTTCATGTTTCTTAATATTAAACACAATGCCGCTATATTGGTCATCGTCAGAATCTTACAATATTGTTCACATTCAATGAGTCATCAGTTGATGTTGAGTCAGGAATCTTTTCTGAGTACTATCCATCTCTTTTCAAGTTTGTAATTGCCCTTGGTGGTCCACAATGTGGCCTGAGATCTGTTTCCCCCTGACTGCTGCACTTTCTCTGTCTGGAGTGGGGCTAGGGGGACAGGACTAAGTATCTCTATTCATCCACCTTCTCAGGTCTCATGTAGTCTTGTGTGAATCTCTCCTGCCTGTGCCTGCCCCTTCTAAAGTTTGTAATTGTCCTTGGTGGTGCTGGGGTGAAGCAGAGCCAGAGACCAACTTCTCCCTGGCTCCTGTACTCTATCCAGGATGGGGCCAGAGGGACAGGGCCACATACCTCTATGCAGTTTTCCTCTCAGGTCTTTAGTAGTTTGGTAGAAATCTTTCCTGCTCGTGCCTGCATTTTCTAAACTTTGTAATTTTCCTTGGTGGTGGTGCACAGAGTAGTTGGAGATCAACTTCCTCCAGCTGCTGTACTTTCTCTAGATAGGCTCACTTTTTCTTTTTAAAGTAAAACTCATTTTAAATGGTCAAGAGTATCTCATAAATGTACAAAAAACCTCCACCAAAACCAAAATGCCTAAACCTTAGATATTTTCTCATTTGCATCTCTCCTTTGTGGTCCTATGATAAAGATTTATCAATAACATTGTACATGCAGACTTTCTAGGTACAGCCTATCATTAAGTATCTTCTTAAACATAAAGGAAGTGCATGCTGGGCACTGGTTAAGTTCTATCCGGGCCACTATGGCTCCTAGAGACCTCCCTGATCTGAACTTTGTCCTGTCTTGCTCCATTGTAAAAAACCTGCCTCATGCTTAAGCTGATTGTTGTAGTCATTGTGACAATTTGTCTCATTGAAGTATGGGAGTATGGTAGGGGAGTATGGGAATGGGGTGAGGGGGTGGGGCCAGGTCTTTCTTTCTTTGTTTCCTTGATTTCTTTTTATTTCTCTTTCTCTCCCTCCCCTGCCCTCCCCTCC